GCTGATCACCTTTAATCTATAGAGCTGATCACCTTTAATCTATAGAGTTGATCACTTTTAATCTATAGAGTTGATCACCTTTAATCTACAGAGTTGATCACTTTTAATCTACAGAGTTGATCACTTTTAATCTACAGAGTTGATCACTTTTAATCTACAGAGTTGATCACTTTTAATCGATAGAGTTGATCACTTTTAATCGATAGAGTTGATCACTTTTAATCTATAGAGTTGATCACCTTCAATCTATAGAGTTGATCACCTTTAATCTATAGAGTTGATCACCTTTAATCCAGAGTTGATCACTTTTAATCTATAGAGTTGATCACGTTTAATCTATAGAGCTGATCACCTTTAATCTATAGAGTTGATCACTTTTAATCGATAGAGTTGATCACCTTTAATCTATAGAGTTGATCACTTTGGTTCAGACAGAAACATCTCAAAAACTTTCAAAGGATTTTAGATAAAATAATTAGTGCTGGGCAACGATTAAAATATTTAATCGCGATTAATCACATGGATTTTTTGCGATTAATCGTGATTAATCGCATTGTTATGGCAAAGTTCAACAATGAATTCAAAAGTAGTGTATTGCGCACTTTTATTTTAAAAGTACTGCTATATGAACAAAAGGGCAATAACATTTGGTTCACTAGATGCAGGTAGCATGTTTTATACTTAATGTGAATATAATTCATACTTTGTTGGCATCTTATTCTGAAAACCGGATGTTTGTCTGAAGAAACCGGATGTTGTCTCACGTTAATCTTTCCGCTAACTTTCAAAGTCCTTCGCTCGCTCCCAATCTGTGCCGTTTAAATGCGTTTACCGTGAATGTCAGCATATAGGTGCACTAAAATTACTGACTATAGGATGTTTGCTGGCTTTTATCCCACTGTTCTTGTCATCCTCTTGTTGTTATGTATGAAGGATGGAATAAAAAAAATAAAAGCAATTAAAAGTTGAATCTTGTAATTGTATCGGAGCAGCTTCTGTCTTTAGATTTAACTCGGCTCTCTGAGGAAGACGTTACCTTTGACCGGTTCGCTCGTGGTTTCTCCTCCACATTGCTGCCCCACATTCCCGTCCTTCAGGTCTTGAGCCCTGGAGGAGTAAACCCACAGCCTGTCAGTCATCACTCAGGGCTCAGACAACGTGTGATAAGAGAAGATAACTCAATGTGTTACTCTGCTGCTGTTGTTCACTTTAATGCTCACAACATGTCAGTAAAGCCTGACATGGTCTGCAGATGGTCTTCAGTCCTCGTAGGCGGATCTGAAGAACTAAAGGTAACTTGTACGTACATGTTGTCGTGGTGATGGCCGTGCACACCGGTGCAGGCGCTGCTGGTCCGGCTCCATCCACACAGAGGATCTCTGGCCAGAACGCACTGGCTGCAGGATGTGTAGACGGAGCACCTGGCCACAGGTACAGAGGCCACGCCCTCTGACGTCCCCACATAGAGAACTCCCTACAGCACCATATCAATGTATAATATGTACCAACAATCAAGGGTTCAGTCCACTCAAACAGTTCCACCACATCGTCCACGTCTAAAGGAGCAGCCTTCACACAGACTCAGTGTTTAATGTTGCCTCAATATTTCAATATTCATCATTATGCAGACGACACACTGTTGTATATTTCTTGTTGGTGTCAGTGGTTTGATTTGTGTCTCTGATATCAGTAAAGATGTTTTATATCTGTGAGGAAACAACTGATTCTTATTAGCACTGAAGGTAAAAAGATGGAAACAGATAAACGTGAGAGAGATCTTAGACGTGTAACTTAACGTTACATCTGCTCTTCATCTGATACATTTGATTCTTCTCTTACTCTCTCTTTGCCTGGATTGCCAAAAATACAAAACCTTTAAAACACATTCAGTCAATTCAGAGAGATGATTCATTCTTACAACAGTCACACACATAGCAAGCTGTTTGCTATTTCTATCTCAATAACATGGCATTTCATATTGAAATGTTGAACTGTTGCTTGAATGATTTGCTCTGATTTATGTCGTAAAGGAATTTGAGCTCCGCTTTGCAAGTTATTGTTATGTTATCATTTAACTTTGTGTAATATTATTCAAGTTTGTCTTCATATCACTTTCCCTCCCAGTGCTTTATACTAATCAGCATTTGGTTTTTGTGTAGATATACATACACACATATACATACACACACACATATATATACTGTATATATATGTGTGTGTATGTACATGGAGGTGTGAGGTTTACCTTGGCGGAGGAGATGACGATGCTTTTGACCAGCTGAGGTTGTGTGAAGACCTGAATCTCCTCAATAACTAGCGCACCCTGATCCAGCAGAGCCACTTTGTGGAGGAAGCCAGACTCTGGACATCAGAGAGAAGACGATGAACCATTTTAAGACAGAATATAGTTTTGCATGTGTGACACTATCAGCGTTTAGTCTGCGTCTCACCCGTCAGCAGGAAGAGGACGGTGTAGTGCTGGCCGTCGGCGGCCTGCGTCCTCATCGCAGTCACATGTGAGTACCGCTGCTCTGAAGACACCACGACCGGATCTCCTCTGACGCTGCCGCTGGTCAGGAAACTCTTCTTCACCTCCGCTAATTCAGAATCTGAAGCGCTGTCCAGTCCACACTGTCAGGAGAACATGAAGGGAAGTTCATACGCTAACCATCCAAAGACTCATGTTTGAAATGAAACAAGCCCAGAGTTCAGACTAGTGAGAACAAAGCTGGGCCCGGGATCGAACCCTGAGGGACGCCGTTTACCTCTGATGCATAACAACACATTTAAGTCTTTGTGACACTTTATGTATCTGATGTGTGACATGAAACAAGTCATTTAAGATGTCAAAGGTCAAAACATCTTATCTCCCCGATTACACTTTTAAATTAAACTAAAGAAAAATGCAACAAAACTACTTGAAATGTTTAGAAAACGTCTTGTTTTTTGCTTAAAATGTTTGTTCATTGAAATAAGTGAGAATTTACTTTTGGTTTCACACAGAACAAGAGATACGACCTCCTGTGTTTGCTTGACCTCCTTCCTACAAGGACTCCATCAGATACATATTTATGATATTTATCCCTAGAACTGTAATTGATAATAGA